ATTGTGACAATTTCTTAATATCCTTTGAATGATGAAATCAATAATAGCACTGATCTCAGGATGTTTTTTCTTTTTAAGATTGACCCATTTGTATTGGAAAAGCCGATTGACAAATAGAAGGAGAGACAGAGAGAGAATGATCTCCCATCCACTGGTTCACTCCTCAAAAGGCCACAACAGCTATAGCTCAGCTGATTTGAAGTCAGGAGCCAGGAGCTTCCTCTGGGTCTCCCATGTGGGTGCAAGGTTCCAAGGCTTTGGGCCATCCTCCATGGCTTTCCCAGGCCACATGCAGGGAGCTGGATGGGAAGTGGGGCCTCCGGAACACAAACTGACGTCTATATGGGATTCTGGAGTGTGTAAGGTGAGGACTTTAACCACTAGGCTACTGTGCTGGGCCCATTGGTAAGAATTTTAATATAGGTCATTGACTAAGCAAATCTGAAAATACAAAAAGGAATACATTAAGTTTTGTTTTCTAAAAGATTAGACTGGCAGTCCCATCAACCACTGGCCATTTAACAGGATTTCAAGACTCTAATTTTTACCAAAAAGGAAAACTCTGAAAAGGGGCTTGTGTCAGTCAGCTGGTATGAACAAAAGTCTGTAGAAACCCATGTAGCTAAGAAAATGTATGTTATGAAAATGTTAAGGCTTTCAAAAAGAATTGCATAGAAATGTGTGATCCCATTTTCAAAAAAATTATGAGGTATGTTCACAATTTGAACTGTCTCTAAACATATAGAGTCATATATCTTCCAGTCTTATGTGATACAGAGCAGTATGAAAATAATTTAAATTAAAAAAATTTTTAAATGATATTTACATAGTTGATCAGGGTGGGAAGGTTCAAGGATTGAGAAAAGTGGGTGTGAACATTGTTTCCAAATTTTCTATTTCTTGCTGTATCTGTGGAAAGGAAGAACATAAATGGAGAAGCCATACCCAACCTCCCAACCGCTCCAGTACACAGAGAGGGGGAAGGGCCTCCTGACAACAAACCAGGGTCCCCACTCTGGCACATGCTCTGAGGGGTCTATCCAAGTGGTTCCGCCAGTTTTGAAATGCTGTTGGTCTTGCCGATCCAAGGGTGAGGAACTGCTTTCAATGTCCATTGGTTGACATAGAGTCTCCATTCTCCCAGATATTTGCTGTCATCGTTTGGTTGGGGTAGTTGTCCAATCTGTTCTGTTCTCCTTCCTCTGCTATGGTACCAGATGTCCTCTGCAGGTCCCAATGGGCTGCCTCCATAGGTATAACCTCCATATGCATCTGGGCCGGTCGTTCACTGCTCCATCTGTTCCACTCATAGAGGCTTAGCTCTGAAACATGAACTCACGGTTAGACCAACAATCTTGGACATGACACCACAGGCCTCTGCCTGCCCCCACCTCTTTCATCACTAGACCCCTGCAATCCCACACACCAAGTCCACACCAGCATGTCCCTGGGTAGCCAGTGAGCTTCCCCTGGTGCCTTTGGTGCTCTAGGTGACCTGACCAGGGTCCTGCAGGCCTCTACCACTGGAAGTCATGGACCCAGCACCTACCACACAGGCAGGCCCAAGGATCCAGATCAGGCACCCAGACCCTGCCAGACCCTCTACCTCCTTGCTCATGGACCTGGTATCCACTGAGCAGGTGGGCCAAGGGACCCAGACCAAGCAACCTGGGCCCTGCCAGACCCCTGCCCCTGGGGTTCACAGATTCAGTGCCCACTGCGCCCAGAATGACGTGGCTTACCTCACCTCTGCATTCAACAGCAGGTGCTTCAGTCTTACCTGGTCCAGCTTGTCCCCTGTTCCAACTGTTGCTGGTGGCTGCTGCAGTCTAGTCTGGACCAGCCATCCCCCAGTCCTGGCCTTAATATGAACTGGCTGCTATTGTGGTCCTGCCATGTCTATCCTGCATCCCATCCTGCAATCCATTATGGTTCTAACATCTGCTAGTGTGTTATAAACTGACCCAGCTCGGCTTGCTTCCAGACCTCACCTGCATGTATGATGGTGGTTACTGTAATCTGGCCTGGTCTGGGTTGTTCCTTGCCTTGGTTATTGTGCTCATCTGCAGGGACTTCATTTTGAAAAAGTAACTCTCCAAGCTCCTCTATCAGGTCTCCTCCTAGAGGCAGAGGTCTTGCATACCAGCAGGTCTTTGGTGGAAGCTGACTTAACCTACCTCTTGTCTTGGCAGGAACAGGGTCTTTGCCCAATTGGCCCCTACCCATTCCAGTTCTTACTGCTGGGTGTTACAGTCCAGCCACATCTGGTCCATGCCCAAACAGAGCTCTCACATGGTTTGGTGAGAGCCAAGAACTAGCCCAGCTTGTTCTATACCCACCCTGGCTCTCATGAGTATTAGTAGGTGCTGGAGTCTAGCCCAGTTTGTCGCTTCCCAAATCCAGTCAACACCATTGTCTAGGGAGACTGCAGTCATGTCCAGCCTAGCCCTCTGCCCCCATTCTAGCTCTTACACTCACCAGTGGGAACCCCAACCCAGTAAGGGCATCTCCTTAGCTCTCCATCCAGGTCTGTTTCCATTCATGTGCCAGCAGAGATTGCAGTTCCACATGGGTGAACTCACATACCCCCTCACAGATTCTTCCCCAGACCTGATTCTCTAGCATACTGGTTAGTATCATAGGCCAGCCTAACATTACCCAACGGCTTTTCTGATTCTGACTGGTGGGTACCATGATCTAGCACTGCCAGGTAGGCCCCCAACGCAGCTTTAGTGTGTGCCAGTGGGTGGTCTTCAGTGGTGACTGATACTAACTACCCCAGCCCAGGTCTTCCACATGTGCTGATGCTTTGGTCAGACCTTTAGATGTCTTCTGCATCCTCCCTCCAAACCACTCACTCTCAGTTGCCTTGTTTACCTGCAAGTACAATGGCCTTATTGATGGTATTCCCTCAGTAGTCCTTTCTCACCTGGGTGTGAGCCCTTGGGTCCCTGTATGAATCCATCTCTAAGCCCCCAGAGCCAGCTGTTGGTCAGCCTGAGGGCTTTGCCTGGTGCCTAAGCCCTCACCAGCTGCCCCTCCCCCAGGACTGCACCACCTAGCTAACTTCAGGAGCTTGTGAGCCAAAAAGGGCTTTGGCATTCCACCCAAGCCTCCACCAGTCTGACCCTGAAAATAATTTTTAATTACAATTTTTAATTACAAAAGTTCTACGTATGATTCACATTTCCATAAACTTTATGAAGTACCCATGCATTTGCATGATCTCTGCCCAACTGACACTCTCCAGCTGCCCTCCAGCCAGCTGCCCAGAAATTCCCCCGGGTTCGGGTGATACATAAAGGCTGCTGAGCTTGTCTACCTTCTGGAAGCCAGGAACATAGAAAAGCTCTTGCAGACTGGAATACTGCATGTGGTTCTAAACCCAGGAAAACAGGAAGAAGTGGAAAGAGAGAGAAGACAAAGAAGAGGGGGAGAAAGAGAGAGACAGAGAGGGAGCACAAGGGAGAGTAGAGACAGAGAAGGAGAAGGTACAAGTGGAAGAGAGAGAGAGAGAGAGAAACTCAGAATGTTTTCTTAGGTTGTGTAAGAGGAGAAATCCCAACTACGTAAGAGAAGCATTTAGAGCTCGGTCATTTAGTATGAATATCTGAGTATAGTCTGCATTTTTATCTCAGAAAGGCTTATGATCCAAGATCTCAGGCTGTTCAGATTTATGCTGTGGGAGCACACTCAAGAAGATAGTTACGGTAAGTTTTGGGTACCTTAACCATCAACTACAAGAAGAGACAATCTTTACTGATTCAAATCGTATTGAAGGATATTACGAAGATTTAAATTCTTCATCTGTTCCATTAATTCTAGGAATTATTGATCTTATAATTAGCTCTAGTTTAACTCTTCAAATCTAGTAGTAAAACCTAGATAGTTCTGTCTGCCCCAGTTGCTTCACCAGTGGTTAAATGAATGGCATTAATCAAATGTGATGTATCACAATGTGTCAGAGAAGGGGTTCTTGTGTTCCATTGCGCAGCATGATGACTGCAGTTCACAGTGGTGTGGAAAGAGAGGAACTAGGAGGTCCTGAACAAAGAAAATACAAGGAATTGGAGAGGCTCGTTTCCTCATCTGTAGGTTAGCACTGTATACAGGTATTGAAATATTGCACTTTGTTTTGTAAAAATATGCAAGTGTTACATATTAGCAAAAATTTTAAAATGAAAGTTCAGTTGATCTCTAAGCTCCTTTTTGCCTACACTAGCATATTTTCAAAAGTTTGTGTAAAGTGGAATTTAAGCATGTTTGTTTTGTGTAGCATTTTTAAAAAACCCACACACATGAAGATTCTTCAGAAAGTTCATAATGTGCATATTCTAGAAAAGAAATCTATGTGAGAGTGAAACCAGCACTCTAATGTGGGATGATGATATTACTTGCTGGACCAGAATACCAGCTCCCAAAGCTTTGGGATGGCTGTGTCTAGTTTGCAAGGTGGAAACTGAGTCTTGTCTCAATTAAACAAAATATTGCTCTCTAATAATAATCTTCATGTAGAATCTGAAAAAAAAAGAGTTACTGGAATTTTAAATGTTGGATCTTCATTTTAACTTTAAAAAAAAAAAACCCTACAGTATCAAATTAGGTTGCTCACTTAATAAAATTTAATCTTTTTCATTCCAGCAAGAACTTTTGATGGGTAAGGTGGGGAAAGAAAAGGTGATAGAGAAAAGATTAACTCAAGAAAACATTAAGAAAATACTTCAGATTTCCTGGATTCTTGTTTTAGACAGAAGAACTGTAAAACTAAGTGCACAGACAGTCCACATTATGTTTACAATATGGCTGTACAAGTAATGCAGAGAAAATGTTCATGAATTATGTTTGGGAATTATGAATAGTTTCTTCTACCACATCTAACATCACCTAGACATTTTTGTAGGACCTTTCTCTTTACATCTGGTCATGCTTGCCGTGGTTTCTAAACTTTTTGTTTGTGTTTAGAGAACCTGAACCATTCCAACAGTTCTGCCAGGGACCCCATGGAAGTGGCCAACAATGTCACAGAGTTTATATTGCTGGGACTGTCTCAAGATCCTGGAACGCAGTCGATATTCTTTGCCCTGTTCCTCCTCTTCTACAATGTGATCGTGGTGGGAAATCTGCTCATTCTGCTCACAGTGTTTTCTGATCCGCGGCTCCACACACCTATGTATTTTTTCCTCAGTAACCTGTCCTTTGTCGATATTGCCTATTCCTCAGCCACAGCGCCCAAGATGATTGCAGACTTTGTTTCTGAGAAAAAGGTGATTTCCTACTGGGGCTGCGTGACTCAAATGTTTACCTTCCACTTTTTTGGCTGTGCAGAAATTTTTATTTTGACGGTCATGGCTTTTGACCGTTATGCCGCCATCTGCCAGCCCCTCCGGTATACCAGCATCATGAGTGCCAATGTTTGCCTCGCGCTGGCATCACTGTCTTGGTTGGGAGCCCTTGGTCACTCTTTCGTTCAAACTCTCCTGACTTTTCAGCTGCCCTTTTGCAACGCTCAGGTGATAGACCACTACTTTTGTGACGTCCACCCTGTTCTGAAGCTTGCCTGTGCTGATACCACCCTGGTGAATGTGTTGGTTATTGCCAACAGTGGTCTCATCTCCCTCGGGTGTTTCCTCATTCTTCTGGCCTCCTACACAATCATTCTATTCAGTCTCCGAAAACGGTCTGCAGAGAGCCGGCGCAAGGCTCTTTCTACCTGTGGATCTCATCTGACTGTAGTGACTTTCTTCTTTGTCCCCTGCATCTTCATTTATCTCCGTCCTTCTACCACTTTCCCACTGGATAAGGCAGTGTCTGTGTTCTATACCACCATCACCCCGATGCTGAACCCTCTCATTTACACCTTGAGGAATGGGGATGTGAAGAACGCCATGAAGAGACTATGGAATCGCATATTCTCCTTGAAGGAAAAGCAGGAGGGATAGCTTATCGGAACTGCCACGTCAGAGAACCAGATGATACCCTTAACTGGTCCCCAGTTTATTAATAATGAATATTAAGGAATAGACCCTAAAATTCAACAAATAATAGGATTATTTCATACTAGCTTCATTTGACAGGAAATAATTCTAAGTTATTTCACATGGGCTAAACTTAAGTTTTCTTGAGCTGACAGGCTTATTCACTTCCTCCCAGAATCGGGGTGAGCTCTCTTACTCAGTGTCTCACGTAACTGCTCTTGAACCTTTCTACTTACACCAAACTCTCAAGCTATAATTCTGTCATTCAGAAAGAGGCTACAAGAGAAAAAAAATCTCAAGAAATTAGATTATTTCTGCTGGAAAAGAGGTGTCTAACTTCTCAGAAGCTGTGTTTCTCTTCTCTCCCTCCCTTGCCTCCTCCTCTACCTTTATTTTGTACTTTTTCCTTATTTCTGCACAAATACCACAAAATCTAATAGGCAAATATATTTGTAAAAGATTATTATGCAATCAAACAAGTGCAGACTTACAAATTGCACAGCAAATGATGAGGGGAATTAGTAGAAACTGACAAATTGTTCTATTCAGGGGCAAACTGTGTTTTACATATTTTGAGATGTAGAGCTATGTTTTAAAAGATCCTTTTGGAGAATTCGAATAGTTTCTTTTTGGTACTGTGACATTATTTTTATTAAAAATTGTTTATGGACCTGGCGTGGTATCCTAGCGGCTAAATTCCTCACTTTGGAGGCAGGGGATCCCATATGGGCTCCGATTCTAAACCTGTCGACCCTGCTTCCCCTCTAGCTCCCTGCTTGTGGCCTGGGAAAGCAGTTGAGGATGGCTCAAAGCCTTGGGACCCTGCATCCACGTGGGAGACCAGAAGAGTCTCCTGGCTTCTGATCAGCTCAGCTCTGGCTGTTGTGGCCACTTGGGGAGTGAACCATTGGATGGAAAATCTTCCTCTCTGTCTCTCCTCCTCTCTATATGTCTGACTTGCCAATAAAAATAAATCTTATTTTAAAAAAGAAATTATTTGTTTATTTATTTTGTAACACAAACTAAAGAATCAAAAAGGAATAAAGATTTGATCAACTAAAATGCCTCAGTCAAGATGTAGTGCTATCATAAATTTTGGGTGAAAGCACTTTTATGCTTTAAAAAAATAATTTGGAAAAGCTCGTTTTCTGTTTGTAGTGGTCTTAGAATTGGGTATTTCCCATACTTTGAAAAAGACATTTTAAGTTTGAGGAATTTCTGAATAGATTTAGTTTCGTGTCTCATATATTTTAGGAATTCTGTGTCATTATTTTCACCTATCACTTATTTTCTCCAGACTTGAACTAATTCTATATACAATTTATAAAACAGTGTTATACTTTTATCTGTTCTTGATCTTATGCTTTAACCAATTTTTATTTGTTTGTACATGTATGAAGAACATAGCTATTGTATGACATTTGTTACTACTGTATGTATAACACAGAAATGACTGCACACTAGGAAGTTGAAAAATGTCAGTTGTCATTCTAACATCCGTTGCTCTTTCCTCCCCACGCCTGCAAGGGACCAGACACTGGGCCACTCTATGCACTGACATATCTCTCCTTTACAGTTGAGGGTGGACAGTACGATGTTACGGATGGCGATTCAATTTTTTTGTTTTTAACAATGGCTGCTCCACACTGCACCCCTGTGGATAGCATCACCCTTAACATATGGTTGTGTTTCCTAATACTCATTTTTCATTTCATTTTTTTCTTAGTAAGGAGTCACCCTCTACTTCTTAAAGTTGCTTTTAAAAGACTAAATAATAACTACATTGGTCTAGCGAATAGAAGACTAAATTAGTTTTCCTTTTTCTTCCAAGATGTAAGTGCAAATAATAATGGAGAAAACAAGCAGATGTGTGAGACCATAGGAAACAGGACAGAAAAGGAGTGCAGGCAAAGATGTGCAGAGAGAAGGCGTAGGAGGCAGGTGACTGGGTAAGGTCCGGAAGTGTCAGAGAGGAGTCCCGAGAGGAGGGGTCAGACTCATCTGCAGAGATACCCGAGGCACCACGTCACGGGGATGTTGCGGTTCAGGACTGGCCGCCGAGACACAGAGGGAACAGTTTAATCTCCTCTCTCCTCTTCCCACATGCCACTCTCACGTGCTGCCAGAGACAGAGGCTGCACAAAGCTTGGCTTTAAAAACGGAATGACATGAATGAAAATTCACAGTTTGACTTTTTTAAAAAAAAGATTTATTGATTTTTTTTATTGGAAAATCAGATGCACAGATAGGAGGAGAAACAGAAAAAAAGATCTTCCCTCTGCTGATTCACTCTCCAAGTGGCCGCAATGGCCGGAGCTGAACCACTCTGAAGCCAGGAGCCAGGAACTTCTTCCGGGTCTCCCATGTGGGCACAGGGTCCCAAGGCTTTGGGGCCATCCTCCATGGCTTTCCCAGGCCTCAAGCAGGGAGCTGGATGGGAAATGGGACCGCCAGAAATTGAACTGACCTCTATATGGGATCCTGACGCATGTAAGGCAAGGATTTACCCACTAGGCTACTGTCCTGGGCCCCATCGTCTGACTTTTTTAAGATCATTAATAGAATGCCTACCAGTAAGATCTGCCTTATTGATCCAGATCTCTTAAGAGCAAGTAATTTATACTAATTATTATCTTTAAAACATATATGATAAAACATATGAAGAAAAACAAGACAGCCTCTATGAAGGCCATAGTAAATCTAATGCGATCAGATATACAAAAGGGAAGCACATTTCGATTTTTATAAGGTCAACAAAAGCCATGTATTTCAAAATACAGTTAGGGGCATAGTGACACTTGCCCCTTTCCTCTGTTTGACTTGCATTCCCACTCTCTCTTCCCATCCCTTATTATTATTTTTTAATTTTTACAGTAACATACTTTCCGTTCCCTTAACAATCATAGGCATATCACTGCATTAGGTATTATTAAACAAACAGCAAGTAGAAAATAAGATGCTGTTTTTCAAGAGCATAGGCTAAAACTGTAAGCAATAAATCTCAAAATGTCAATTTCGTATAGAATATACTTTTTAAAAAGATTTATTTATTTTTATTAGAAAGATAAATCGTATTTATAGAGAGAAGGAGAGACAGAGAGAAATATCTTCCATCTGCTAGTTCATTGCCCAAATGTCCGCAATGGCTGGAGCTGAGCTGATCCAAAGCCAGAAGCCACAAACCAGAAACTTCTTCCAGGTCTCCCATGTGGATGCAAGGTCTCAAGGATTTGGGCCATCCTCTACTGCTTTCCCAGGCCATAAACTGAGAGTTGGGTGGGGACTTGAGCAGTCAGGACATGAACCAGAACCCAAATGGGATTGGGGTACTTGCAAGCAGAGAATTAGCCAGTTAACCCATCTCAGTGGACCCAGAACACATATTTTTGTACTCTCTATTTTAGACAACACAGAGATCAGAGAAAACACACGATATTTGTATTTTGGGGACTGGTTTACTTCTCTAAGCGTAGTTGTTTCCAGTTGTATACATTTTGTTGCAAAATACATATGATTCAGCTATTCCACTCCTGGGATTTTTCCAGAAGAAATCATATTAGTATTGAGACAGATGTTTGTACACTTATGTTTATTACAGCTCAGTTCACAATGCAAAAGATGGTGGGATCAACCAAGATGCCCACGAACTGGCAATTGGATAAGGAAAATGTGTTATATATACTCTTTGGAATACTACTCAGCCTTAAAAAAGGAATGAAACTTTGACTCTTACAATAAACAAATTCAAAAATCTTTTATCTTCTAGAGGAGAGAAAATATTTGAATTCCTGGAATGGGAATATGACACTTTAAAAAGTGAGAGTTAAAAATACTTTTGGAAGCTTAAGAAAAGTATTATAAATAAAATTAACTGGGGGTGGGCACTTTGTTTAGCAATTAAGGCACCCGTGAAGGTGATTTGAGTGCCATTTCAGAGGGCTCCCTGGTTTTGGGTGGCAGTTCTGTTCCAAGTTCTAGCTTCTTTTTACAGAATAAAGTTAATAATTTATTATCATAATTTTTCATTTCTCTCTACATTATTCTATTAAATTATACTTCCTGTTTTTATTTTTTCTTTTTATTTAGTTTTCACCAAATTGCAAGCAATTTGCAGATGTGATTCTAAGAACATGGTGGTACTCCTTCCTCCGGTGTCCCCTTCCTTTTGCCTTTTCTCTAGTTCCTTGACAACAGGCTCCCTGGGAAGGCAACTAACTGGCGATCATTGAAGTGGTTGGATTGTAGCCACTCATGTGGGAGATTTGTACTGAATTTGTGGCTATTAACTTTATCCTGTTCTAGCACCAACCACTGAGGGCATTTATAGCGGAGCAGTAGATAAAATCTTTCAGACTTTCTGTTTGCTTCTGTGTATGACAAAAGTACATACATAAATATTTATATGTGATTACTTACACCATAAGTAGTTATTGTACACTTTCAAGTCTGCATTTATGTGTCTAGTATTATTCATTGAGTTGTGTCTCTGAAGGACAGATTTCTTTCACAAAACATGTGAAGATGCAGTGACAGAAAGGGCATACTTGCAAATTCAACCCTCAGTGGTAAGTGAAAATATTTACTCTAATGAGTGCCAATTTTAAGTGTTCTAGGTCATTTTGTTTTCATGTGGCAAATCAATGAGTAAAAAGGAGAGATATTTTCCTTGGTTATGGTTTTCTTTCCTTACTAGCAGTTTTGGGCAAAGCTTCATAGATTTCCTGGTAATTCATACTTCTTAGCTCATCATCTTTGGCAGGGATGGGGACTGGAAAGGGTTTCTAGAACACTTGGAAGATGAGAATGGCAGCACTCCTCAAGGACACTGTGGCACCTGTCTTCCCTTCCCCTGTATCTTCAAGAAGAGCTCTGGAAGCTGTTCAGTTTTGTTTAGGAGTTGGACAAGCATTAAAAAAAACCCCTTAGATTTGTTGAGAATGTTTTTAAGTATATATCAATGGAGC